GATGAAAGTATAATCTTCTCTGTTAACTTTTTAGAAGTAGCTTCTTATGTTTCAATCACAATGTGCATTCTTATCACAGTCTATCTTCAAATCATATATTGCTAATGATTAATATAAGAATATTCATATATATATATACACACACACATATAGACAATATAAAAATATATAGTCTGTCAGGAAAAAGTCCAGCCATTGTTAATATAAGAGCATGGTTTGTGTGATATAACCTGGCAGCCAAGGAGAATGCACTGGAATCCACTGTTGTCCATGCTCATGGGTCATTCATACATGTTCTTTGACTAATCCCTTCCCCTTTTTTCCACCATTCCTCCCTCCCCCATTTCCTCTGGCAGCCATCAGTCTGTTCCCTGTTTCCATGTCTCTGGTTCTGTTTTGCTCATTATTTTGTTCATTGGATTCCTTACGAACACTCTTACAAGTGAGATCATATGGTATTTGTCTTTTACCACCCGGCTTATTTCACTTAGCATCATAGTCTTCAGTTCCATCCATGCTGTCCCAAAGGGTAGGGATTCCTTCCTTTTTCCTTCTGTTGCATATTATTCCATTGTGTAAATGTATCACAGTTTTTTAATCCATGCATCTACTGATGGGCACTTAGGCTGTTTCCAACACTTAGCTATTGTATGTAGTGCTGCTATGAACATAGGGGTGTATAAGTTCTTTTGAATTGCTGTATCAGGGTTCTTAGGGTATATTTCCAACAGTAGAATCACTGGGTCAAAAGGCAGTTCCATTTTTAGTTCTTTGAGGGAATTCCATACTGTTTTCCACAGTGGCTGCACCAGTCTGCATTTCCCCAATAGTGCAATAGGTTTCCTTTTCTCCACATCCTCGCCAGCACTTGTTCTTTGTTGATTTATTAATAATAACCATTCTGGCAAGTGTGAGGTAATATCTCATTGTGGTTTTAATTTGCATCTGATGGCTAATGATCTTGTGCATTTTCTCATATGTCTGTGTGCCATCTGTGTGTCCTCCTTGGAGAAGCGTCTATTCAGGTCCTCTGCCCATTTTTTATGGACTGTGTCTTCTGGTGTTGAGTTGTATAAATTCTTTATATAGTTTGGACATTAAACCCCTGTCAGATGCACCATTGGCAAATATATTCTCCCACATACTTCCCTTTTCACTTTGATGATGGCTTCTATATCCATGCAAGTTTTTTATTTGATGTAGTCCCACTTATTTATTTTTTTTCCTTTATTTCCCTGACCCTAGGAGTTATATCAATAAAAATATTGCTGTGTGGGATATCTGAAATTCTACTGTCTATATTTTCCACTAGCACTTTTACAATATCACTTGGGGAATAAAATTACTTACTTATTAAAAGTCCTATTTTCTGTACTAGAATAATAAAACCTGAGGAAATAATGTAAATGAGTCAGCTAGTTACAGACAAAAGAATCTTTTCTCACAGAGAAACTGGGGGTGTAAAGGTCAGGATAGGAAGGAGACCTACTTTTTACTTCATATTCTTTTGTGCTTTTTAAAAAACACATGCATGTAGTAGCCCTAAACAAAAAGTTTTTTAAAAAACTCATACAATAGAAAAGAAATTAACTTCCTCTATGGCTCTGCAAAGAGCAAATAAATATGAAAGGAAGTGTTGGTAAATAGCACTTTATATAGACTATGGTACATAGCCCGAGAAAAAATTAGAAAAAAATAATTCACACTTTATGTGTGTGTGCTTCTGTTCGTGTATCTGCATTCTACAGCTCATGTGGATACCACTGCTCCTTTGCCACACTGACAAGACACAACATCACCTAACTGCAGAAGGCAGTTTCATCTAATAATATGCTATTTTAGGCAGAAGAAAGCTCAAAACAAACACAAAAGACTTGCTGACTTAAGACAAGTTTTTTAAAAATACAATAAAAGTTTTTTTAAATTATTATTATTTTTTAAATTTTTATTTTATTGATTATGCCATTGCAGTTGTTCTATTCCCCCTTCATTTCCCTCCATCCTGCACCCCCTACCCCCACCATTCCCTCCCTTTAGTTTATGACCATGTGTCTCAAGTTCTTTAGATTCTATATTTCCCACACTATTCTTGCCCTCCCCCTATCTATTTTCTACCTACCGTCTATGCTACTTATTTTCTGTACCTTCCCCCTTCTCCTCCCACTCCCCTGTTGCTAACCCTCCTTGAGATCTTCATTTCTATGTTTCCACCCCTGATCTAGCTGTCCTTTTAGTTTGCTTTTGTTTTAGGTGTGGTTGTTAATAACTGTGAGTTTGCTGTCCTTTCACTGTTCATCTTGTTTATCTTCTTTTTCTTAGATAAGTCCCTTTAACATTTCATATAATAAGGGCTTGGTGATGATGAACTCCTTGAATTTGATCTTATCTGAGAAGTACTTTATCTGCCCTTCCATTCTAAATGAAAGTTTTGCTGGATAGAGCAATCTTGGATGTAGGTCTTTGGATTTCATGACTTGGGATACTTCTTTCCAGCCCCTTCTTGCCTGTAAGGTCTCTTTTGAGAAATCAGCTGACAGTCTGATGGGAACTCCTTTGTAGGTGACTGTCCCCTTATCTCTTGCTGCTTCTAGGATTCTCTCCTTCATTTTAATCTTGGCTAATGTAATGATGATGTGCCTTGGTGTGTTTCCTCTCGGGTCCAACTTCTTTGGGACTCTCTGAGCTTCCTGGATTCCCTGGAAGTCTATTTCCTTTGCCAGGTTGGGGAAATTCTCCTTTATTATTTGTTCAAGTAAGTTTTCCACTGGTGGCTGTTCCTTTCCCCCTTCTGGTACCCCTGTAATTCAGATGTTGGAGTGTTTAAAGATGTCCTGGAGGTTCCTAAGTCTCTCCTCATTTTTTTGAATTCTTGTTTCTTCATTCTTTTCTGGTTGGTCATTTTTATCCTCCTTTTGGTCCACTCCTTTGATTTGAGTCCCAGTTTCCTTTCCATTACTATTGGTTTCCTGTGCATTGCCATTCATTTCAATTAGTTTAGCCTTCATATGTTCCTCTAATTTGTGACTAAAATCAACCAGTTCTGTGAGCATCCTGATCACCAGTGTTTTGAACTGTGCATCTGAAAGTTTTGCTATTTCTTCATCCCTTAGAGTTATGGGCTCTGGGGCTTCGAGATCTTCCTGAGCCATTTTTGTTCTGTTTGGCCCGTTAAGTATGAGGAGCGGAGCCTTAGGTGTTCACCAGGGCGGGGCTGCCCAGGTCGCTGGGTTGTGATGCTGTATGTGGGGGCGGGGTCAGAGCGGGGAAATGGTGGCCTCCTCTGCTGCCTCCCGCTGCTGGGGCCTGCCTGGTCCTGTCTCACTGCCCACTCCCTCGCCGGTCTATCTGCGCAGGAATGCACAACTAGTCAACCCGCTGACCTGTGCCCTCGCTGGGTCGCTGATCTCTCACTGGGTCGCTCACTGGGTCCGCCCATTGCAACCCCACGCCTGGGATTCACACAGCCTGAGTCTGTCTGACCAAGTTTTCCTGTGCAACCCTGCTCTGCCAGCTGCTGGCTTCACCCCTCTTACCGGTCAGGCTGAAGACTTCGTTGTTATCAGACTTCCGAAAAGTTCAATTTTCTGTGTTCTGGCTGTGTTTTCTGTTGCTAATATTGAGTTGTCTCTAAACTTGGTTGTGTGAGAAAGCACGGTGTATCCACCTATGCCTCCATCTTGGTGGAAGTCCCCAGTTTTATTATTTTTAAAGTGACTAAAATCCTCTTAGGATTCATTTTACTCATATCACATGTATTTAGAGATAAGGTTCAAGCAATTACCCACATTACTTTTTTACTCATGAATTGCTGATAATTATCATTGTTTCTGATATGCTTTCTGTTCAGATCTCTTCCATGTACCGAAGGTAAATTCTGACTCTAAGCAGCTACAGTAGTGAACAAGCTTTAATGCAGTAAATCATCACCAGCCAAAACTGTTGCAGCAGTCAAAACCTAACATTGAAGGTTTCTCTCATACCAGTGAGCAAAGGTTAGGTAGTGCTGGTTTGAGTCTCAGCATTCAGGGAAAGAAACTGTTCTCTTCTGCATTGGATAGAAATTTTGCTATTATAAAAATGTGATGAGTCCAACAGCTGAAAGAAAAACTGAAGATATACATTTGGAGTTCTAATGGTAGTGAACAGGAAGGGGTGAATAAAAAAAGCCAGAAAACATAGTTTCTGGACGGAGCATTTCCAAGAGCTAGTTGTGTGGCCTTGGTAAACTCATCTAATCCTCTAGGACAAATATTTTCATTTGGTAAAAAAAAAAAAAAGGGAAATAAGATGAGGAGATTTTTAAGGTTCTACCAAGTTAAACAAAAACATACAGTTTTGCAGTAGACTGAGAAAGTCTTCTTCTAAGAATTATTCCAATAATGTAGTGGTACAAGTGATCAAAGATAATGTATATCTGGACAAGGTTGTTCACTGACATCATTATTTGTATTAGCAAAACGCCTGTGGACAAATAATTCAATATTTAGCGGAAAGCTAGTTAAAGAAAGTATAGAATATCTATACAATGGAATACTGTGAAGCCATTTAAAAGACTGGGGAAGTAACATGGAACAATATTCAAAATGCATGGTTATGTAAACAAAGTACTGCCCAGAATAGTGTAACAGGGTTTTCATCCCGGTTTTTAAAAAAGGGAATAATGACGCACACACAGATATATATGTATATGTATAGTATGTGCATATATACATACTTAAACACATACACACATGCATTTTTATCTATTCTAAGAATATTTGTAATGAATACACAAAAAACTGGTAGTTGTTACTCTGGGAAGAAATCTAGCAGTTTAGGGCAGAAGAAAGACTTCTTTTACTGTCTGATTTTATCACTTGTAACTATTTTATTAAATAAAGAAAAAAACCACAAAATTTTATTTAAAAATTTGTATTTCCTACCCTTTAAGTTATCCAAAACACCTATTTACCAAATATGTGTCTTCTCTGACAAAATATTAATATTTTATGCATAATTACCTTGAAAAGTCTAGGAAACACATCTGCTGGTTGTCCCCGAATCACAAACAGACGAGAGTTTAATTTTCGCAGATTAGCATCAAGGTCTTCAAGACATTGAAGCAAAAATCTAGGGAGACAATATTATTAAAATTATTAAATATATATAATATATAAAATATTGCAAAATCATGTTATTCTAAAAGTTGAAATGCCAACACCATCATCTAATTACCTCTTATCATCTTATTACTTCTAATTGATATATAAATTAGTTTCCAGAAGCCATACGCAGTTTTTTAAATTATAGCACAAGTTTCTTAGTATTTTATTAGTTTTTAATATATTTTATTGATTATGCTATTAGAGTTGTCCTATTTCCCCCCCTTTATTCCCCTCCATTCTGCACACCCACTCACACTTGCATTCCCCCCCATTTAGTTCATGCCCATGGGTCATACATATAAGTTCTTTGGCTTCTACATTTCCTATACTATTCCTAACCTCTCCCTATTTTCCATCTACCATTTATGCTACATATTCTCTGTACCTTTTCCCCTCTCGCCCCCTTCCATCCCCCCACTGATAACCCTCAGTGTGATCTCCATTTCTGTGATTCTGTTCCTGTTCTAGCTGTTTGCTTAGTTTGTTTTTGTTTTTAGGTTTGGTTGTTAATAGCTGTGAGTTTGTTGTCATTTTACTGTTCATATTTTTTATCTTCTTTTTCTTAGATAAGTCCCTTTAACATTTCATATGATAAAGGTAGGGTAATGATGAACTCTAACTTGAACTTATCTGGGAAGCATTATCTGCCCTTCCATTCTAAGTGATAGCTTTGCTGGGTAGAACAATCTTGGATGTAGGTCCTTGCTTTTCATGACTTGGAATACTTCCTCCCTTCTTGCCTGCAAGGTTCTTTTGAGAAATCAGCTGATAGTCTTATGTGAACTCCTTTTTAGGTAACTGTCTCCTTTTCTCTTGCTGCTTTTAAGATTCTCTCCTTATCTTTAGTCTTGGGTAATGTAATTATGATGTGCCTTGGTGTGTGCTTCCCTGGATCCAACTTCTTTGGGACTCTCTGAGCTTCCTGGACTTCCTTAAAAGTCTACTTCCTCTGCCAGGTTGGGAAAGTTCTCCTTCATTCTTTTCAAATGAGTTTTCAATTTCTTTCTCTTCCTCTTCTCCTTCTGGTACCCCTATGATTCGGGTGTTGGACTGTTTAAAGATATCCTGAAGGCTCCTAAGCCTTTTCTCAGTTTTTTGAATTCTTGTTTCTTCATTCTGTTCTGGTTAAATGTTTCTTTCTTCTGCTCCAAACTGTTGATTTGAGTCATGTTTCCTTCCCATGACTGTTGGTTCCCTGTACATTTTCCTTTATTTCACTTTTCATAGCCTTCATTTTTTCCTCTAATTTGCGACCATATTCAACAAATTCTGTGAGCATCTTGGTTACCAGTATTTTGAATTGTGCATCTATGAGATAGGTTGGCTATCTCTTCATCACTTAGTTGTATTTTTTCTGGAGCTTTGATCTGTTCTTTCATTTGAGCCTTTTTTTTTTTGTCTTTGTGCACCTGTTATGTAGTAAGAGGCAGAGCCTTAGGTGTTCACCAGGGTGGGGCAACTCACGTCAATACACTGTGACGCTGTACATGCGGGAGGGTCTGAGAGGGAACAATGGCACTTGCTCCGCTCTCTGCCAGATCTCAGTCACTTCCCCAGTCCCCACAATCATATTGAGCCCTTCTGGTTCTGATTCCTGGGTGGGTGGGCTTGTGTACATTCTAGGACCCTGTGGGTCTCTCCAATGAACTCTCCTGTGAGGCTGGGAGTTTCTCCCGCTGCTGCCTAAACTCCCACAGGTGTTTTTAGTTAGAGATTTTGAGGCTTTATTTCCCCGAGCTGGAACCCTGTGTTGTTTGCTCGATCTATCTCGCTCCCCAGTTGTTCCTCCTGGTTTATCTGGGCACGAATGTGGGACTGCCCAGTCCACCAGCTGCTGCCTCTGTCTCGAGTCCTCTCCACCTGGCTGCCCATCTCCACCCCTCCTACTGATCTGCGTGAGTGTTTCTTCTTCAACTCTTTGGTTGTTGGACTTCCATACGGTTTGATTTTCTGTCAGTTCTGGTTGTTTTTTGTTTTTAAATTTGTTGTTGTCCTTTTTTTGGTTTCGTGAGGAGGCACAGTGTGCCTATCTGTGCCTCCATCTTGGCCAGAAGTCAATTTCTTAGTATTTTAATAAAGTTCCTAAATTAAATCAGTAAGTTTCATTAAATAATAGTATTAGCAAAGGTTTAATTTGTAAATATAAAAATTATATAAATAAACAAATAAATCGATCTCATAGTTAAACTTGATGAAATGAATTCAAGTTCCTATAGGAAAACCAATGTAAAAAACCTGCAGCATTTTCTACTGAAAAAAATGGAAACATCTTATTTAATCACTCTGAGCAAATGAGTAATTTAAGAATGTGAACATGTTATTGGGGGATATTATAATTATCTAAGAGAGAGACAACAATGCTCATTTTCTTTCTTTTTTTATAATACTTTTAAAAATTTTTATTAAATACTTCTGAATTTTACTGTTGTTCAGGTACAGTTTTCTGCCTTTTCCCTCCACCTCTCTCCCCCATCTCCCATCCCAGCCATCCTCACCTCCTTCCCGTTTCCACGCCCCCTTGTTTTTGTCCATGTGTCCTTCATAGTTGTAAACCCTTCACCCTTTTCCCCCCATTATCCCCTCCCATCTTCCCTCTGGTTACTGTCAGTTTGTTCTTAATTTCAATGTCTCTGGTTATATTTTGCTTGCTTGTTTGTTTTGTTGATAAGGTTCCAATTAAAGGTAAGATTATATGATATTTGTCTTTCACTGCCTGGCTTATTTCACTTAGCATAATGCTCTCCAGGTCCATCCATGCTGTTGCAAAGGGTAGGAGCTCCTTCTTTCTTTCTGCTGTGTAGTATTCCATTGTGTAAATGTACCCTAGTTTTATGATCTATTCATTTACTGATGGGCACTTAGGTTGCTTCCAGCACTTGGCTATTGTAAATTGTGCTATGAACACTGGGGCACACAGATTCTTCTGAATTGACGTTTCAGGGCTTTTAGGATATAATCCTAGCAGTGGAATTGCCAGGTCAAAAGGCGGTTCCATTTTTTTAGTTTTCTGAGGAAATTCCATACTGTTTTCCATAGTGGCTGCACCAGTCTGCATTCCTACCAACAATGCACTAGGGTTCCCTGTTCTCCAAACCTCTCCAATACTTGTTGGTTGCTTTGTATATGATGACCATTCTGACTGGTGTGAAGTGGTATCTCATTGTGGTTTTAGTTTGCATCTCTCTGATGGCTAGTGATACTGAGCATCTTTTCATGTCTCTGGACCTTCTGTAATTGTCCTCCTTGGAGAAGTGTCTGTTCAAGTCTGTTGACCATTTTTTTAATTGGGTTGTTTGTCTTCTTAGAGTGGAGTTGTGTGAGTTCTTTATATATTTTGGAGATCAAACCCTTGTCTGAGGTATCACAATGCTCATTTTCAAGCTTCTAATCTAATTAAAGAAAAAGAAACTAATATAGATGTTAAATAATGTGGCATTAACTATGTGTGTTGAGATCGATGTTTTAAAAAAGATTCATGAGCCCTGGCTGCATGGCTCAATTGGTTGGAGCATTGTTCGGTATACCAAAAGGTTGCAAATTCAATCCCCTGTCAGGGTACATACCTAGGTTTTGGGTTTGATCCCCATTTGGAATGCATATGGAATTTAAAAAAATATTTCATGAGGTAAGTGGGGCTACAGATTTTTTTCAATGAAATAAATACCAACAAGGCTTACACATGATAAATATTTGGGGAAATGCTGAGGCAGTACCAGAAGACTGCTTACTGACTACCTCTTATTGTGAAGAAATGGAGCAGCCAGTTACCAAGAACAAGTCTGAAAGACATGTCATCCCTGGAAGGTTTAACCTCATTATTTGCCTCATGTCAATTTTCTGTAACACTTCATCTAGATTCTGTTCCTCTCAGCTGGAAATATCTTATTTCCTCTCTACTTAGCTTAAGTTTTTGATCTTAAGGTGAAATATTTGTCTGCTCTTCCACAGGGGCATGTGTTCTTAAGAATAGTGATTGTGTCTTACTCATGAGAAGGAGTGGTTAAGATGAACAGAAAGGCATAGTTCAGAATTACATCGTCTAGAATGGTAGTAGTCACTTGGCACATGTAGCCATTTAAATTAGTTAAAATTAAAAATATAGTTCTTCAGTCACACTTGCCACATTTCAAGGCCTCTCAACAGCCATACGTGGCTGATAGCTATCATATTGGACAGCACAGGCAAAGATCACTTCCATCAATGCATAAAGTTCTATTGGCAAGAGTTGTTCTAGAATGTTGTTCTGTCTACATCATTTTGTTCTCTTTGCCCATTCTGATCCCATTATTTCACCAAGAAATTCCTGTTAATTTGTTATAAATGTAAGTATTAGTGACATTGGTAACCTTCCTAACCTAGTCAAGTTTGATATCCTTTCCCCTTTAAGAATCACAATCTCTGCGGGCTTGGGAAGTCACAGGCTGTACACAGGAGGATGTGAAAGACATTCCATCATGTCATCTTAGGTAGCCTCACAGTCATCCTTAAACAAGTAAGAAACACACGTCTGTATCCTCACATTTACATGTCACCACATCCCTTTTCTGTCTTGATTTAGAGTTTCCTCCCTAACACCTCCATGCTCACTCTACCCTACCCACCATTACTAATGTGCAAATACTTTGGGGGAAAAGACTGCTGTTGTTTTAGCAATATACAATAAAAGTACGTGAGTTTTGTAAAATGATCTGTGACTATAAATGGCTTATAACGTTTGGTGATAAATGTTTATTGGAAAACATCTATCTTTATGTATTTGCTTGGCAAATGAGTTTTTAGACACTAGTAGTCAGATCAAAAATTAAAGTTGGATGAACTAACAATTTTAAGTTTTCTTAAATCTAAAGAGTACAAGACTAAAATATCCTGGAAGGATAATTCAAGGCAGAGATAACTGTCAAATAAATCTCTTATGTTCCATTAGTTTCAGTATCCTCTCCACCACAGCTGGTAGTATATAACAAG